AATAACTTAAAAAAATAAATGGAACAACCTATTTACTGTTTTTGCTTTTAAAAGATTATTACATTGTCTTTCTAATTTTTTTTACTTTTAAGTGTTTATAATCACTAACTAAAAAGATATTTAACGTTAAACATTAAAAAAATAATTACTATTGTTTCAGTAGTCAAAAAGTGAAATATCACTTAATAATCACATTTGTGTTACATTATTCTTTATTTTTACAACAAAATAATTCAAATTTCAGTATTTATAACGACTTTTACAATCTCTGGACAAATCAACAGATAAGTGATTCATGGTGGGATTACTATGGTTGCCGTAGTACCTATCAACAATGCTCCAATATTGTTAGGCATTGTAGCTACAATTAATATTGAATTTTAAATATCTTTTCTTTTATCAATTCTAGACATTGAAAGTTTATTTTTTTATATAGACAATTTATCAATCTATTAGATGCAAAAATACAAAATAGGGTGTTTCATTTACTTTTTTAAAGTTATTTAAGTTTAAACAAACTTCTTAATTTATTAATCTTTACAAATGCATAACTAAACAACAACTAAAAAATTGCTACAGTTTTAAGTTCTGTACTTTCTTCTTTGCCGAAGTAAGAAAAAATTTGTTCTAGCTGTCTTTGTTTTTGTGTTTTCGTCAAAAAAACCGTCCTATTTCTAAAACTAAGCGAAATCGACTAACAAAAGTTTATCGTTTAAAACATTGTTTTAAAAGGCTACATCCAAAAATGCAAAGAAACAACCGGTGTTTCATTAAAAAAAACACAAGTTTGTATCGTAACTTATTTTTGGGACGTGCTGCATGGTTGAAAATAATTTTAGGTGATGCACTAGATTAGCATCTATCAATGTCTTATACTTTTTTTTTATAGTTCTACCATTTAAAGGTCACCAATGGACTTTTTTTAACTCGCTGGCACAGCCTGTATGAAATACCGATTTTTACTCTTAAAAACTGGAAATATAAACTGGAATTAAATAATTTGAATTTTTTTGAGTGTTTTTTGACATAAACACATACCGATTTTTACTCTTAAAATTTCAATTGAATAAACGGAATATTTTGACAAACTATTTGACATTATTTGACAATTTTTTTTAACATTATGTATCACTCATTAATTTAATCTGTTAGGAGGAAAGTTGTATGTGCACCTACATCGTTAATTTTTGTCATTTGACGTATGCGGCACAAAATGCCCAGAGTGACACTGAAATAGAAAAAAAGTTTTTATGTTTTTATGCACTTTCTTTTTCTTATTTTGCTGATGCCTCGTGCATAAGACTCCTCACTTGTGCACTTTCCGTGCTTGTTATGTAGTATACTATTGAGGTACAGTTTTGCCACAATTTACAAAATAAAAAAGTAAAAATTTGTGAAGCTTCTGAAGTTATGACAACATCGAAAATAATTGTATACAAAATTGTAAAAATATAAAATTTTTCACTTTAAAAGTTTTTAACTTGACTTTTGTAATGCAAGGTAAAAATAAGTATAAATTACAGTTATCATTGCTTCAAATAACGACAGCGAATGACGTTTAACAGTTTTTTTTTTCTCCTACTTGACTAGTTGCACAAATTTTGAGGATATAACATAAATTAAAAATAAATTATTTGATTATTTTGGGAACTAAATTGAAACCCAAATTTATGATTTTGTATTATTTTATTACAAAAAATGAATAAAACATTATTATAATGTCTGTCTTTTCATTTTATCATTATGATAAAATATGTTTTTTATTTATACAGGGCTTTTTTCTTTATTTTCACTCTCACATTTGTTAGATTCTTTTCTCCCTTCTTCCTTTTCCTCGCCATTCCACTCTTGTAATTCCCCTGAACAAAATATTGCATAGAACAAACCACAACCCACGTAAATTCCAGCAGCTAGCCAAAACACTTTCCTCCACAAAATTGGATCTTTCTAAAATTAAGTACAGATATGAAATTTGTTATTACATTTTTAAATTACGTTTTACCTTATCACTGCCGAGGAATTGCACCGATAATGGCCCCAAAATCGAGAAAATTGTAGACGTACCATTGGTAATACCCAATAACGTTCCAGCATGGTTGGGTGCCAGGTCCACTAAATTTACCATATACCCAGAATATACAAAACCACAAGCACCGACAGCAAGAACTAGTAAAGCAGTACCTAAGTCTTTCTGCGAACTGTCGATAAGACCAAGGCTAAATAACGCTATTGCCGGGATTAGAGTACCCAATGAATTGAAAATTTTTCGAGTGGTTCCAATTGTAAAAATTTTATTCGAAATTAATTTATCGGCGAGTGGGGCACTTGCCATGGCTACTAGAAACATGGCAATGTAAGGAAGAGCCGATAATTGACTATTCTGAAATTATTACAGTAATAGATACTAGAAACCGGCTGCAATAAGTGGTACCACTTACAGAATTGATGTCGAAACCCATAATACTACTCATGTAGCTGGGGATTTCAGTCAAAAGGGTGAACCCGCCCCAGCTTCCGCCACAGGATGTAATTAAAACTGCCCAAATGGGCAACGATGTTGCAATTTTTCGCCATGGTGTAGGTACTTTCTAAAAAAAAAAATAATGCAAAATGGCCATTAATACAATTCATTGTTTTTACTTTATTTTCACTGGTATTACACGAATTACTGCTTTCGATATATTCTCTTTCTTCGTCTGAAATACTACGGTGGAGTGCCGGCGAGTTGGCCACAAAAAATGCAAAAATGCAAGCCCATACAATACCAAGCGCTCCATAGATGTAAAACGCTGAAGGCCACCCCCAAGTAGACCCCGAAAGAGCTCCCGTAAAAATCATAGATAAGACAATACCGATATTTGACCCCCCGAACACAAAACTCGCTACTCTTGATCTCTCATACAGTGGAGTCCATTTGCTTATCAAATTATTTGTCGATGGGTAGAGAAAGCCCTGGTTGAGGCCTTGTACTACTCGACATATTATGACTCCCGTGGGTCCCATCAGCTTGGCCATTGTTGGTACCAAGATGTTAAAAACTGAACCAATGGTCATAGTGGTGAACAAGAACCATTTGGGACCAAAATATTCCCCCAGTTGGCCGGCACCGACTTGGGGGACAATGTATCCCCAAAAAAACGACGACAAGATTATGTCAGTATTGTCCCATTTTGGGTACGTCTAATAAAAAATTATCAAAAAAAAAATAGTCACTTTGGTACTTACGGGTATGCTAGGATCTGGGGGCGTTTCCTCGGTCATTGCGATGATAGCAACCGATAAAGAGGTCCTCTGAGCGTAGAAAATAATTATTGAAACAAACATCAATCCGATTTGGACATGTCTGGTCCCGAAAAGTTCTAAAATTTTAGTTTATTTATTTGGTTTTGAAAATATAAAAGTATTTACTTGATTTTGGTTTGGCATTAGGGATTGCAATTTTAGAGTCTGACATTTTGTGGCAATTGCAAAAATTTATCTCAAGTTCTGTCTTTTATTACAAATGAGAAGATGTAATCTAATCGCTACAAACAGAAAATTTGCATGTTTTTTAATTCTTTTTTCTATGAGGAGTACTTGACTTGACTTGATCTTATCCAAAGTACAAAAACATTATTTGTTAAGAGGGGCCTGATCGCACTTGTTTTGATGCAAGGGTATCTTTGAGAAAGTAATACAGTAAAACCTCTCAACAACGGACACCGATGCGGAATCTTTAATTGTCCATTGTGGAGAGGTGTCTCTTAATGGAAGGTGTGCAAAATTGATAAAAATTGAAAAGCTTTTTGTTCAAAATAACAAAATAAAATAACAAAAATACAAAAATTGAGAAATTAAAAGCATTACAAAAAAATTTGACAAAAACATTTGTATTTAAAAAAAATCGTTAATTTTTGTTTGTTTAGACCAAAAGTTTTTTTGATTGTTTTTGAAGCTCATTACTTTAACTGATAAGTTTTTCTTAGGGTTATTCTATATTCTGCAACTCATTAATGTCATTGAATCTTATAGGTATAAAAGTTCATTTATAAAACAGTTTATATTTACTGATAAAACTAAAACTGTTCATTTATATTACTTATTATTGAAGTGGGTAACTATAGGTGGTAATGCAACAAAAACATTTAACTACTGGTTGCATTTTTGAAGACCAAATGGCAGTTCCATTTTATTTTACAAATTCCATGATCGTAACAGTGAACTCGGCGCCAGTGGCGGAGTGTTTATGTTCGTACCTCCTTTAGAATAGACTTTAGTATCTGTTTTAAAGTAAATCTCTCTGTCGGTCTGTCCGTTGTAAGAGGTAAATTTATATGGCATTTATGGTAAATGATACGTTCCTACAAAAATGTCCGTTATCAAGAGGTGTCCGCTATCTAGAGGTGTCCGTTAAGGGAGGTTTTACTGTATACCAAGTTTTTATAAAATCCATCAAATGCATCTTTAAGATAAAACATCAAACTAGACTTTGACAATATTTTTGATTTTTATTGTTATTGTCATGGCAAGAAAATTAAAAACTGTAAGCAGTTTTTTGTATTTTGGGTTCCTTACGTAGAATTTTCCTCCCAACAATAATTAAAGAACTTTAATTTCCATCATAGTTTTCTTTTTAATTTAATTGCGCTACCATAGTTTCAGTAGTAGAACAAATCAAGTTTTTTTTGTTGGTACTTTTTGAATATTTTAAAACTTTTTTAAATATAATAAAAAGACCAAAGTCTTAAAATTTTAGCAAATGATAAAAGTCCTAGATTAAACAGCATTACCTATTACTCACTATTAAACTGTCTACTGTGTAGATTCACTGATAAATCAAATTATCCATTAAAACAATTAAAGTTGGCCCATTAATATTGTTGTAATGACACAACAAAATAATTTGCACAATTCATCACCCATCAATGCAAATTTTGAACTGCAGATTAGATTACAAAAAAAAATAAAATTTATGGCACTAAAAGTGACCGTGAAAATGTAAAATTACACCAGGTTTTAATAATTCAACAGTTATTTGTTATTTTTCGTTACCTACGGCCCATCAAAGTATAGTTTTTTAATTTTATTCAATATTTGTATTTTTGATGTGACACTTTTCGTAATTAAAATATTTTGTATATGAACTTGTTTTTTTTTAATTACCAAAAAGCAAATAAAATTTATTTTGATTATGGCTCGAAACATTTAATCGAACGAAAAACTTGATGTTTAAAGGGTTTGAATAGTTAGATAAAAAATATCAAGTATTTATTATTTAAATGTGTTTACAAACAACACAATACAGATAACAGGAGGATAAGATATAATTAAGGAAGATTTATTTTTTTGGTTGTAGTTATTTACTTCAGCATTTTTTACATAATTTTGTACAAAAATTACACAAAAACTTTATTTCTACGTTTATGGAGCCTTATATTTAATATTTTATCAACATTATTTTCAAATACTTGCATGTTCAAATAATTACGTCTCTTACTATTTTGTAGAAAAAATAGTGTATTGAACTACTGCCTATCACTCGCTACGTTCGACGAACAATTTCTTTCATTTCGTATTAATCACAATTGCTGAGAAATAATTAATAAATTAAACTTTTTCGTTTTTATCGTTTTCTTCTTCTTTTGCATCATTCCAACTCTGCACTTCTGCCGATGCAAAAATGACATAAAACAAGCCACAGGTGCCGTAAATTCCAGCAGCTAGAAGAAAAACTTTTCTCCACAAAAGGGGGTCATTCTGAAACAATAAGTAAACTTTTTTATCACACTTTTATTGTTCTTACTTTATCATCGCCAAAGATCCCCACAGTTATTGGCCCTAAAATCGAAAAAATATTCCCGATGCAATTAGCCACCCCCATAATTGTCCCAGAATGATTAGGGGCAAAGTCTATAATATTCACAATATAACCCGAGTAAATAAAAGATGAGAAACTGCAAGCTATGACTAAAAGTGTTGTTACCACAACTTCTGAAAAATTTTCAAGAAATGCGAGATAAATTAAAGCAGCACCAGGAACAAAAGTGGCTAAGCCATTGAAAATTTTTCTCACTGTACTAATCGTACAGATTTTTTTCGTTACAAGCAAGTCGGCTAAAGGTGACACAAAAAGGCCCAAAAAAAAGTTACCCAAGTATGGCAATGCAGCCAATTCACTGTGCTACAAAATTCCAATTATAATTAATAATTAGGTGTAATTAAACTTACAGAATTGATATCAAATTTCAACATGTTGCTCATGTAAGTTGGCATTTCGGCCATTAGGGTAAAATAACCGAAACACTGGGCTATGGAAGCCAATAAAACAGCCCAAACCGGTAGTGACGTTACAATTTTTAACCACGGAGTTGGCACTTTTTTCTGTTTAGTAGTCACAAAAGTATTCCTCATTATGTACGATTTTTCCTCCTCTGAAATTCCCTTATGGTCCGAGGGTGAATTTTGGGCAAAAATTGCAAAAACAACAGCCCAAACGATCCCTAAACCCCCGAACATGTAAAACGCAACTGGCCAACCTAAATTTGAGCCGGCTATAACCCCGGTTAGTGGCATGGCAATTGCCATTCCTAGACTATTACTCCCGTAGACGAAATTTGAAACTCGGGCCCTTTCACATAAAGGGGCCCACCGGCTTATAAGATTCAGGATTGAAGGGTAGAGAAAACCTTGAGTTAGACCTTGAATTACACGACATGTGATAACTCCAGAAGGGCCTAAAGTGGCAGCCAAAGGCGGTATGGCAATGTTGGCAAGAGAACTGATGATCATGGTAGTGACTAGAAACCATTTAGGGCCAAAAAATTCGCTTAGTTGGCCAGCACCGACTTGGGGGATTATGTAGCCCCAAAAAAAGGAGGAGAGGATTATATCAACATTGTTCCATTCAGGATAAGTCTAAAAAAATTGCAATAACAAGGGACTAATTACGAAATTAGGTACTTACCGGTATACTAGACCCAGGAGGTGTTTTAGCCGTCATTGAAATGATTGAAACTGATAAAGAGGTTCTTATAGCGAATGAAATCAGAATTGAGAAGAACATTAGAACGAATTGGAAGTGTCTGACTCCGATGAAATTTTCTAAAATTTGGGTTAGTTACAAGTGTTAGAATTTCAAACATAATTACTTGGTTTTTGGGGAGAATCGCTGATTTGAAGGGATAAAATCTCATTTTTTTGCTCCAACATTTTACTTTCGAGATCACGAAGAAACTATCACTACTGAATGTTTGTTATTTTATCTAATCGCGTTGTGTAATTAAATTATCTCTTAATTTAAAGGAATTTTACAAATCTGCTTTTATTAGTTTTAATCTTCTGACATGTAAAACACAATGATCAATAAAATTCATAATTGTTTTATTTTCTCATCTACACTATTCAAACGTAAAATATTAAAACAAAATCCACAATTTTATCGTCTTAAACTTCAAACAATAAACAAATCGATCATTTTTAAACAACTTTATTTGTTATTTACTACAGTACAGAAACTTATTTAATACTTGAATCAGTCTTTTCAATTTTTGGCTTATCAGATTCTTCCTCCTTTTCATCGTTCCAACTTTGTACCTCAGCTGAGGCAAACAGGCAGTAAAACAGACCACAGCCTAGGTAGATTCCCGCCGAAAGCAGGAAAAAATTTTTCCACAAATTTGGGTCTTTCTGAAAATCATGTATTAATTACACGATTTTTGGTACTACTTTACCTACTTTATTAGTACCAAAGAATGTTATACTTAAAGGTGCCAACATGGAGAAAACATTGTTAATACCATTGACAATTCCGAAAAGTGTTCCAGAATGGTTTGGGGCCACATCTACCACATTTATCAAGTACCCAGATTGACAAAACGTCGAAGTACTAACTGATATAATAAGGAGTACCGTTACTAAGGTTCTATCATAATTGGTCAAAAAAGCTAAATAAATTAATCCTATGGATGGTAAAACTGACGCGAGAGAGTTAAATATTTTTCGTGAAACACTAATAGTGACAATCTTTCGTTTTGCGATTAAATCGGCCAGAGGTGAGACGGCAAGCCCAAGGAAAAAATTGATGACGTATGGAAGTGCTGACAATTGACTGTTCTGTAAACTTATCGTTAAAAATTATCAAAAGTAATAAAATTTCGTACTGAATTAATATCGTAGTTCATAATATTGTCCATGTAGCTGGGTATTTCAGTCACTAGAGCAAAACTACCAAAACACTGGGCGATACCGGCAATCACAATCGCCCATACTGGTAGAGAAGTCACAATTGACCACCATGGTGTTGGTACCCTCTGTCAACAAAAAAACTGTCAACACTGTAAAGCTAATTTGCCAAATACCTTTTCCACATTGATCGAATTGCTGCTTTCTATGTAATCCCTTTCTTCCTCTGTTATCCCTTTATGAGAAGAGGGTGAATTTTCGGCAAAAATGGCAAAAATGATTGCAAAACCAACCCCGACTCCTCCATAGCCGTAAAATGATGCAGGCCACCCCCAGTTTGACCCACAAATTACCCCTGTCAGTGACATAGAAACTGCCGTTCCTAGCACTTCACCCCCGTAGACAAAATTTGAAACTCTTGATCTTTCATAAAGGGGTGACCACCGACTTATCAAGTAGTGAACTGAGGGGTATAAAACGCTCTGCAATACTCCTTGTAGTAGACGACAGATAATGACTCCCGTTGAGCCCATTAGTGCAGCCATGGGTGGGATAGCAATGTTGACAATTGACGTCAGGATCATGGTACTAACCAGGAACCATTTGGGGCCAAAATACTCGCTTAGTTGGCCGGCAAATACTTGGGGGAGTGTGTAAGTCCAGAAAAATGATGATTGGATTGTGTCGGTGTTGTCCCATTCTGGATACGTCTGGTGGGGGGTTAATTGTGATGGGTGTGTTTGGTGGTACTTACGGGAATGTTGGGATCTGGAGGTAAGTCATCAGTCATTGAAATTATGGACACTGAGAGGGATATTCGCATGCCGAAATAAATCAAAAGTGAGAGGAATAGTAAAACGTACTGTAAATGTCGTACTCCGATTAATTTTCCTAAAAAAAATTTTTAATTTTGTTTTTAGAAAATTGGGGTATGTTACTGGGTCTTGGTGGTTCATCTTGTATTTTAACTTTGACTTCTGACATTTTGATCAATTTGAAATCACTAACAAATTAATTATCGGAACTGATGATGATGTAAAACGTTTTGGTCTTTTAATTTAAAGGATTATTATATCTAATCACTTGCAATTGTTGGTATTATGAATTAGAATTGTTTTTATCAAGAGCGGTACTTAAGATGAGTGGTTAAGGCAAGGTCACATTAAAAAATTCCAAAAAATGTGCCAAAAATCTCAGATCATTAACATTCTGCTTTATATGCCAAAGACGCAAAAGTACTACTTTTATGATCTAATCTCAACTTAATAAAATAATTGTTTTCGGTAAGTTATTGGTAATTTATGTTTTTGATAAAACTCCATTGTTTTTACAATCAACATTTGATGACTTGATGATGTTCAAAGGTAACAAAAAACAATTTTTTTTATCATTTTTATTAACATACAAAAATTAACATTTTGGTAAAAATTCAGTCTTTTTTTCTTTTTCAATTATAACAGATCCTTTATCAGATTCTTCATCATCTTCTTCAATGTTGTTCCACTTTTGCACCTCAGCTGACGTAAAAATCACATAGAAAGTACCACAAACAGCATAAATTACTGCTGCCAGCAGGAAAACTTTTCTCCACAAAATCGGGTCTTTCTGAAACTCTAGTTAGTTTACGTTTAACTCTATCAATTTTGCACCTTATCACTGCCAAGAAATCCCACAGTTAGTGGTGCCAACAGCGAAAAAATATTGTTAGTACCGTTGACCATTCCAAGAAGTGTTGCCGAATGGTTTGGGGCAATGTCGATTAAATTGATCCAATATCCTGACTGGGCAAATTGTGAAGTACTAACTGTAATTACCAAAAGCGTGATCACCAGATTAGTCTCAAAATTTTCCAAAAAAGCCAAATAAATCAACGCCGCAGCTGGCAAATATGACGCCAAAGAGTTGAAAATTTTGCGAGAAGTTGAAATAGTAACGATGTTTTTGGCTGCTATGAAGTCGGCTAAGGGGGAGATGAAAAGTCCGACGAAAAATTGAGCAAAGTAGGGCAGTGCTGATAATTGACTGTTCTAAAAATTTGGACTCAAAACTAGCAAAACTCGATATTTTAGTACTCACTGAATTTATATCAAAATTCATGATATTGCTCAAGTAAGTTGGTATTTCTGTTAAAAGGGTAAAACAACCCCAACACTGCGATATCCCAGCTACCAGCATTGCATACACTGGTACTGACCTCAGGATTGATTTCCAGGGAGTTGGGAATTTTTTTCCCGAACTAATATCAGTATTAGCCTCGATGTATTTCTGCTCATCTTTTGATATTTTCGTGGAATCTGAAGGCGAGTTTTCGCCCCAAATGATAAAAATTATTGCTGTAGCAATTCCCAAACCCCCATAGATGTAAAACGCAACTGGCCACCCCATTTCGGATCCAGAAATAGCCCCAGTAACAGGCATACAAACTGCAATTCCCAAAGACGCACCTCCATACACAAAATTTGCCACTAATGATCTTTCAAAAACAGGCGTCCATTGACTTAGGAGATTATGGGTTCCTGGGTACATAAATGCTTGACATATGCCTTGAAGTACCCGACATATTATGACTCCAGTGGAACCCAAAATTTGAGCCATTGTTGGTATTGCAATGTTGATAATCGAACCTGCTATCATAGTGACAACAAAGAACCATTTGGGTCCGTATCGTTCGCTAAGTTGGCCTGCGACGACTTGTGGGATTATGTACCCCCAAAAAAAAGATGATAAAATTGTGTCCGTATTGTCCCATTGTGGGTATGTCTAAAAATGGGTTTTAAACGTATTGGGTGGGTGCGTCTAGTGGTACTTACGGAAATACTATTACTTGGGGGTGACTCTTCAGTCATTGAAATTATAGCCACTGACAGGGATGTTCGCATTCCGAAAAACACAAATTGGATCAAAAACAACAAAACGAATTGGAAATGTCGAAATCCGATCATTTTTTCTACAAAATTTAGAAATCATTTTGGTTTTTACTATTTTTTACTAATTTGCTACTTGGTTTTGGTTTAGAATGTTCGAGGTTGATTTTAATTTCCGACATCCTTGGTTTTTACTACGAACGTAACCACTTTGACTGGAGAATTACCCCTTTGAGGTTTCTTATATGTCATTGTTTTGATAACATCTAATCAATTATTGAACGCATGCAATTTGCATTTCAATTGATTTTTTATCGTATTTGGTACTTTGTTAGAGAGGTCAAGATTAAATCAGCGTGAGGAAAAATTTCAAGGAACACAATATTGTTGTTGATTGGCGAAAAATTTCCAGGTGCAATAATTTTGATGCAACTAATTATTTTTTCAAGTTTCTGTAACTATTATCTTTAGATTAGATAAATGATGACCAGAGTAAGGCAAATTGATGTCACGAGCCTACTGCGCAACCGCTGCGACTAGCTGTAGCCGTCGCGTCGCCTTTTTGGGTCCATATTAGCTTATTATTCACAAATTTATTCACACTAATTAATGAAAAATAAACCAATTGATTTCACAGTGTATTATTCTACAGTGCGATCAAAAAGTCTTTCTATCAAGTAGACGTCCAAGTTGAAGACGTATGTTGCATGGCAGTTCGTATGTTATCTAGATTGTCAAAAAATTATTTTATAAAAATTTAAACATTCTGCTAATTAAATTGAATTATTCTATGAAACGTCTCAAAACAAACTAAAATAAAATTTTGTTGGTGTTTATTCATAAAAATCGTTCACCACGGTTTCCTGTCATAATTCACATAAAAATATTTTGACATTTCTCATTTGTCATTGTGACATTTTATCTTCCACAGACATACGTTTTAAATTTCTACGCTTGCTTGATAGACAGACTTTTCGATCGCACTGTATTATAGTAACTATAATAATTATTTAGTAATTATAATAATTTATAATTACTTTGTAATTGTAATAATTTATAATTATTTAGTAATTATAATAATTATTATAGTAACTATAATAATTATTTATATTAAAATCTGCCTTTAGCCGAACGCACTGGTTGCCTATTCCTGCGACATCAATTTGCCAAAGTCTGATGATGACACTGAGTTATCAATTATAAATGATAACAATAATTATTGTTATAATTTTTTTTTGTTTTTATTTAAATAAATAAAATTAAAACTAGTTTTAAAAATTTGTATTTCATCTTTACAACAGATGTCAAAACACAATAAATAATTCACAATTTATGCTTTATAAGGCATCCTTCTGAACTTCTTCCACAACTTCATCTAAAATCAAAAATCAAAATACTGAAACATAGAAATGAATAATCACCTTCCCCCTCAGTATTCCACGGTTGCACTTCTCCGGAAGCACAAATAACGTAAAAAATATCAGCGGCGACATAAATGCCTGCTGATATACAAAACGCATATCTCCACAAAATTGGGTCACTCTTCAAAACAATCATTTTATTTTTTTTACAAGACGTTTAAACTTACCTGTTCGTATGGAATTGCTTTTATGGCTAATGGTGCAATGATTGAGAAAATATTTGACAAACTATTCGTAATTCCCATAAGAATTCCTGCATGGTTCGGGGACAAATCAATATGATTTACGTTAAAACCACTATATACAGCTGCATTAAAACCTACAGCTAGTACTAGTAAGACTAGAGCTAAATCTTTTTGGGATGAATCAACAAAGCCTAGGGCTACCAATGCGATGGCTGGGATAATCAACCCTAAATAAAAATGATTGATTTTTGTTACTTAAATTGAGGAAATAACATACCAATAGTATTGAAAAGTTTTCGAACGTTTCCTATCGATAAATATTTACGGACGATTAAATAATCGGCAAGTGGGCTAAAAACAAAGCTTAGAAGCCACAGAACGAGGTAAGGTAATGCTGACAGGAGACTATTCTGTTAAGAAAAAAGATAACAACTTTTAAGAAACGAAAAGTTTTTGGACTTACATCCTTAATATCGTACTGCATAATTTCGCTCAAATAAGATGGAGTCTCGGTCAGTAAAGTCCAAAAACCCCAGTTTTGCCCAGAATGGGCTACTAAAATAGCAATAAAAGGCGCCGAAGTGAATATGGACTTCCAAGGTGTTTTTAACTCTTTTTTCTCTTCACTGGTTATACTTGCACCTTCTATATACTCTCTCTCCTCCTTTGAAATCCCCCCATGTTTGCTCGGGCTATCAGCCCCAATAAACCCCCATAAAACAGTCCAAACCAGTCCCAAACTCCCATAAAGATAAAACGCACCAGGCCATCCTAACTTCGAACCGGCAAAAGCTCCAGTCACTGGGAGGGAAATAACAGTACCTAGAGGACCCCCAGTGTACACAAAACTGGCAACTTGTGAACGCTCAGCCAACGGAGTCCATTTTCCAAGAAGTGTGTGTAAAGACGGAAAGAGAAAACCTTGGTTCAAGCCTTGAATAATCCGACATGCTATGACCCCATTCTCGCCCAAATTTTCAGCCATGACTGGGATTAAAAGCGTAAAAAGGGAATTAATGGCTGTTGTGACTGCCAGAAACCATTTAGGGCCGAATTTTTTTACCACAGCACCGGCACCGATTTGGGGGATGACATATCCCCAAAAAAAAGCCGAAAGAATGGTTTCTTTCTGAGTCCAGTCTGGGTACGTCTGAAATTTAGATTCAAGTTCTGAATTTAGCTATTTTTCAGTGTTTTACGGGAATGCTGGGATCTGGGGGGTCTTTCTCCATCATCGCTATAATCCCAACCGACATGTTGGTCCTAATCCCATAAGCGATAATCGTGGCGAAGAATAAGATCACGAATTGGATGTGACGAACACCAAACCATTGCTCTGAAAATTTTTTGTAGAATTTTTTATTTTTATTTTTAATCCTACTTACTGGGTTTTGGAAATTGTGGTTCTGGGGCCTTTTCTAAATCTGTTTGTGTCATGTTTGGTGGAGTTTCATGAACAATTGATCGCGTGGAGTTTATAACAAGCAAAATACTTGTAGATAAAAACTAATCTGTGCTAATACATTTTTGCAGAATGAGAGTCATTGAAAATGATAAAGGATTTTCTCATTGTGATCAGTTGTCGGGCATGCAAGGCGGCTAAAATAATCACGATTTGGTCTATTGTTTGATACTACATTTTTTGTGGAGACATTTCAAGGAAAATTGGAAACTTACTAGAGCTACAACCTAGTTGACCAAATTTGCAGAATAAAGCTTATCGAAACAGGTAAAAAATATAACTATCTGTTTTTGTGATAAATAATTTTTTTTAATATTGCTTTTAAAAATTGCCGATTTATGAGCTTTTTTATCAAATAATTTGTTGGAAATGGAAAAAAACTAAGTGACATTCATTTATTTATAATATATTTCACAATAACACTAATATTATCACAGCAAAATTTTGTTGCAAATTGAACCTAGTTAAACCTGCTCACTCTCTTCCTTTCCTTCATTATTCCACTCTTGAATTTCCCCACTTCCGCAGAAAACAAACACAAAGTTGCTAACGACATAAATGGCTGACGCAACCCCAAACACCACCTGCCATTGCAACGTGTTCTTCTGCAACTCCAAATTTTAATTACAATTTAAAACTTTGCAAAAACAAACCTCATCTGTTACAACAACTTGGACAAAAAGCGGTGCCAATAGTGAAAAAATGTTTGAAACACAATTAGTGATGCCCATTAATGTACCAGAATGGTTGGGGGAGATGTCCATATGGTTGACGTTGAACCCTGAATAGATCGCCGAGTTCAAACCAACTGCTATGACAAGAAGGGCTATAGCTAGGTTTTTGTGCTCCTCGTCCATAAAACCTAAGAAAACTAGGGCAATTGCGGGGCAAACAAGACCAATCGAGTTGAAAATTTTTCTTGTGGCTCCCAACGAAGTGTATTTTTTGATGATGAGGAAATCTGCAAACCCGCTGAAGACGAAGCTGAGGATCCATAAGACAAAGTAGGGCAAGGCACTTAAGTAGCTGTTCTAAGTGAGTTAAGTCAGATTTGGCTAGATTTATACAAGTGGCACTTACTGATTTAATCTGGAAATGCATCACTGTGTTCATATATGACGGAATTTCGGTAATTAGGGTCCAAAAACCCCAATTTTGACCACAGTGAGTTACGAGGATTGCCCAGACAGGCAAACTAGTCAAAATGCTTTTCCAAGGAGTTGGTAAAGGCTACAATGGAGTTGATTATCACATAATTGGAGCACAAAACTCGTACCTTTTGATGGGAAGAATGCCCCAAACTAGTCTCAATGTATGCTTGTTCCTCTTTTGAAATTATTTTGCTTTCGCACGGTTTATTTGACCCTAAAATCGCCATGGCTATGGACCATAGAATCCCCAATACTCCATACACATAGAAAATTAAAGGCCACCCATACCAACTTGCTGAAATTATCCCTGAAACGATCATGGAAACCACAGTACCCAAAGGACCCCCTGAAACCAGTTTTAGTCCAAAAAAATTTAATTTCGGTGTTGTTACCAGCATAAACAAATGTTCCTAGACGTGATCTCTCGGAAACTGGAACCCAATAGCTCAATAAATTGTGAATTGAAGGAAAAATAAAGCCTTGACAGAAGCCTTGCAAGGCTCGCGATGCCATCACTCCTTCAGAACCCATCGTTTCGGCCATTATTGGTAACAAAAGGCCAAAAATTGAGCAAATGAACATTGTTGCGACTAGGAACCATTTGGGGCCGAATTTTTTGGCTAATTGGCCGGCCCCCACCTGGGGTATAATGTACCCCCAGAAGAACGATGAGAGAATGATACTTTTGTTGTGCCAGTCGAAAATCTACAAAATTATTACAAAATATTTTTTTGAGGGGGTTTGACCTACTGGAATATCAGGGTTCTCGCTGGCTTTCGTGGTCATTGCCACAATTGCGACCGACAGATTGACTCTAATGCCATAAGCGATGAAAGTGAGGAGGAAGGTGAGGAAGACTTGGAAGTGTCGCACTCCACAACAAGAGTCTGGAATCAAAAAGACAAAAATAAATTTGAGTCTAGCCTTGACCGTGATGGGTTTAATTATTCCATCTAAGAAATTGTTACATAATTTGACGCAGAATTGTGGTAATACTTGTATTTATTTTACTCCAGGAAAAAGTAGTGGCCTTCAAATATGAAACAAACTAATAAAATTTCATCTGTGGTAATTGTAGACACAATTTTATCGTTTTTTCGTGTCGGTTTGACAATAACAAATATTAATTTACTTGTCTTTTACAAAATAGAAAAACAAAAGTTTTGTATTGATATTCTCCTTGAAACTTTGTAACTCATTTATCAAAATACATAATTGTAAAGAAAGGTTAATTTTGGGTTCAAAATTTATTATCTAATCAAAAGAGGAAAAATACTAAAACTTGTAAATCTTCATGTTTCCCGGTAGGGTTTTTTTTCCTCAAAGTAATCATTTTTTTAACTGACAATTCATTTCAAATAATATAATTGATATAATTCGTATTGAAAAATATCTTAAGTTTGGATTTATGAAATGGGCACTCTAGTTGCTCTTGAAAATCAAAAATTAAAAAGATATTTATGTCAAGTCATTGGTGACACCGTTTGCGTTATCAACAAAATTATTCAGTTATTTTAAAGTGGGAATTCTACAATTTGAAAAAATGTAAATAACAATCAACAACTCCTCGAAGGAAAACTTTCCTTTATTATGGCTGTGTACTCTCCATCCGTAGATAAACTAAAATCACAAGTCTAATTGACCGTAAAAATAAAAACATCTTTTAAAAATAGTACAAATACAGTAATTTTTACCATTCAGGAAATTAAAATAAATTCCTACTTAAAACCACTACCAGGAATCTAATTATCTTGGTAATTATTCAAGCAAAACGCACTTTTTTCGAGTTTTTGTACAAGAATTTAATTAGACACAAATTTTACTACTTTTGAGTGAAGCAGGAAATTGGCTCAAATATTGAAAAAAAATCCATTAAAAATTCACAAACTAGATTAGTTGATTTTTAAGACTGACTTACCTGGCGCTTCTACAACATTTTTCTGCTTTTGGTTTTCGTCTTTTTTCTCCAAATCCCCCATTTCTAAAGTCTCTTTCGACATTTTGATGTTTTGTCCCACTTTGCAGAGGGTTCAATTTCCAACCCGAGTGGTTGACTGCACGATTAAAACTGTGGTCAAATTATTTTGTAAGCGCTCAGTGCACCACCACATGACCTCTAACACTTATTGCGTGTGTTGTCACTTTTTGAATTTGATTTTTAATAAAACTTTCGACTTCTGTCCTTAACGAAACAACTTTTTTCTAGTAACTTTCACCCTTCAAAAGCCCTCAAAATTTCTATTTTTGGGACAAAATTATTAATAGGAAGATTTCTGGTACTCCTTTGATAACCTCTAGCCCATATTAATTCGAGTAAGTGGATGATAATTGATAAGTGATTGGAGGCAAGGATCATTGGATATATGCAGATTAGAAATTGTAGCCTTAAGGTATGCAAAATTTTGACGGACTTGATAATGAAAGTTGTCAGGGTATTGTGTGATGTGACAGGAAGTAAATTTTACTTAAGTGTGATGGACAAGGTGACAGGTTGTGAGCTGAAATTTAATTGGCTGGGAATTGTAATGATGTAATCAAACGATGACCAGTTTTGCAAAAAATCTCCTATTTCGAAAAAAAATAAAAAATAAAAAATAATTGTTAACTTCAACAAAACTAATCACTTTATTTTAAAAATCTGGTAATGATAATTACAATTAGGTATAATTTCCAGCAAATACCTTCTCTCGAGATCAAATCCATTCTAGAAGCAAAAAACATAAAAAACTTTGATATAATTAAAGCTTAATTTTTAGATTACTAAAAAACCCCAAAATGATGCTAAACAGAGTCTTAGAAAAAATGTATTAATTACAAAATTGTTAAATGTTTTCAAAGATAGTGTTATCATGACCTTTTTTCAAGGCTATTAACTATACACCTCAAGCCTAAAAGTTTTCATTTCAAGCTTTTGTAAGTTTATGAGATTTTAAATAAATAAATTGATACACAATAACATTTAATAAACATTATTAATTGATGAAAATATTAAGGTAAGTTAAATGAAACCTTTATTTGAAAAATAACAATCTTTATAAACATTTTTAATTGATATGAAAATACATATTAAGGTAAAATAAAAAAAAACAAATAAAAGTTTTTATTTCTCAAATAAAGATTAAACAAGTTTATTAATAAACTAAAAAACAAACCGATAAACATTCGAAAATATACTGACTCGTTGTGTCTTAAAACTGCTTTAAAAAAATTAATAGTCAAGTTTGATGAAATTCTTATTTTCATGGCGTTGAATTCATTCGTGCAACTATTTTAAAACAATTTACAAAAAATACTACAATCAAGGATTCTAATTTAAAATTAATAATACAATTAATTTTCTTATAAGCGCAATTATACGCTGATAATTTTAGTCAATTTAAGTTATTATTCAATATTTACGCTCAAAATAGATCAACTTTCCCGAAATAAACTGCAATAAAATCCCAACATTTTGTTTGTGTACTGATTAAACAAATAAGATAATCAGAGAAACATCAGTAATTTATCGGTCACTACTTAATTAATCCCAATTTTATGTAAAAACAACAATGTGGCAATAATTAGAAAACAATTCAGTTTTTATTTGTATTTCCATTTCGTTGATATTTAGACAATGTTTTTTGCTTTGCTTTGTATAACTGGTTGTCTGATATCAGGCGTTACAGCATTCATTTATTTTGTGGAAATTAAACTGGATTCGATCAAAGTTTAAAACCAACACATTCTGCTTGCGTTTTTTGTTGATATTGTTATTAGTTTGTTTATAATATAAGTGGTACTTGAAATTCTTTGCAGTCTAATAGTTTTTTCCATTTCAAACACTTCACACTTTTGTAAGTAGCAATAGCACCATAATCAAAACTTTAAAAAAAATCGCTTTAATTTTTTCTTTGTGAATTTAAATTACTTAATTAATTTAACTTAAACTAACAATAAAAAAATTCATGAGACGTGCGCTAGTCAAACTTAAGCCCAAACGCCCGATAAGATAACCCTGTCGTAATTTCCTTAGTTATTGACACAATTCGCCCCCCCTTAATCACCTCCGCGTATCTCGCTTAAGTCGGATCATTGCCTTTCAAATCTTAATCACTGAAAATCGGTGCCCTCGACAGGAAGAAATCCCGTTTATCCCGTGGGCGTAGTGACTTAAGTGACTCACATATGAACAGTGGAGAACATGGCTGTGCTTCTCGAAAACGTAACAAATTGTGTGTGGCAAGCCTTCGACGCCCTGCAACAAGACAAATCGGGATACGTCCACAAGTCCAAACTTAAGGTAAGTCGAATTTGGGGCTTTAAGCCAGACATGTGGTCGCGTTGACCGTATAAGGCAAGCAGGCGCTCAAGTGTATGTCAAGGTTGCTTGAAATTGTTGTTATCGCGCTGATTCATATGTTCTATTTATATTTTTGTAGGTTTTGACGGCGAATATTGGTACGATTTTGGATTTGTATGGGGTTGAAAGAGGGTTGGAGCATTTCCGAAGCACAGCCACTTTGAACTTCGACCAGTACAAGTTTTATTTGCAAAAAGAAGTTTTCTCCTCGCTGCCTAACAAACTCCCTTTGGCGGAATTGCGAGATTATGAGGCGCGAATCGCGGAAGTTTGTTGGCTGGTTTGCCGGAAAAAGTTTGTTCAAAGAGACAACAAGATACTTTCTGATGAATCGCTTTTCCAAATTTTCCGAATCTTTTGTCTTTTGGGTGATTTAGTTCGAGAGCAACACAATGAGGACACTTATCAGGTGTTATTGCACCCTTCTGAAGTCTACAATATTGCCCAAACTTTGGCGAACTCTTTGGGATGTCCCTGGGACGAGGAAGATTTCACCAACTTGTCAATCTCAATGGGAAGTTTCCGTCTAACTCCCTTTATTGCAGTTTTAGAATCTCGCTCTTTAGTCGGAGTCAAGGACAATTTCGCAATTTCGGAAGCCGTCACTGACATCTACCAGACCCTCGTCGAAGACGTCATCAAGAAAGGTTATTTGACCAAAAAAGGCTACATTTTCCCCACAATGCGTGAATATTGGTTCGTTCTCCGACCTTCCGAGCTGAGTTATTACAAAACTCGCTCCGAAAAAGAACGTTGTGGGTCACTTCCCATCGAACCCGGAAGTCGAGTCGAGGCCAAATCCGGCTACCGGATTATCCTCCATACTCCTGAAAGAAGCTTCGAGTTGGGCACCACGGACCACATGACCCGAGTCCAATGGATTTCAGCTCTACAACTCGCCGCTGATCATTCAGGAGGGTGTCAGAGTTACCAAAGACTTCAAGTTGCGCGCAGGAAAATGCAAAGAGCTGGGAGAATTCAGGAAATGATGAGAGCAAGAGCACAGCTGCAACAGGAACGCAGTGCTCGACAAGCCGCTGAAGGACAAGCAAAGGAGTTGGAGGCTGTTGTGAAAGAAGAAGCGCGAAAATTGACCGATTTGGAGCAAATGAGGGCGAAATTGGAACGTCTACTTGAGGAGGAAACGCAAGCGAAACGCGACGAAGAGATTGTTCGGGCCCTCCAAGCACGAGTTTTGGCCGAAGAGTGGGAAAAAAGAGAAGAATTGGAACGGCTCCAAGAAGAACAACGAATTCTCTTAGAGGAGGAGCGTGGCAAAAGAAAGGAGTTTGAGGAGTTGCAAAGCGAGAAAGAGCGTCAGTTGCGAGGTGAGTGGGTTTGGGGTACGTTCCAGACTTTAATTTATTTTTTCCAGAGGCGGAGTCGCGTTTGGCCCAGTTGGAAAAAGAGAGGGAAGCTTTGGATGTCCAGTTGAAAATAGCCCATGATAAAATTAAACTATCAGAAGATCGAAGAGAGGTAATGGAAGCGAGATTGTACCAAGTGGTACCAATTCGAGAAGGGGATCGAGTCAGACGAGCCCATTCTTTTATGCCAAGTACTAAAGAAAGACCAGTTTTGTTAGAAGTAAGAGCTGCCACTCTGAGACGCCCCAAAAACTAATACAGGAGACTGAAGAATGCTCATTCCGATTTTATTACCCACTAATTTTATAACAATAACTTGTAATATATTTTTATAATTAATCGTTTATTAAATCAACCATTACATCCTTCTTATCAAAACCTTCAGTCGACTTCATTTCACCAAGAATCGACTCTCGGTATTTTCCCTCGAGAAGAGCATTCGGATCCTGATCAGCTTTCAGTACTGGTTTTGTTTCCTCCTTCTTCTTTTTCTTCTTATCTGAAAGCGCTAAATTTACACTGTTCACTAATCATCAGTTGTACCTTTGGGACCCTTTTTCTCTTTTTTACCGGCACTACCGCCTTTCTTTTTTGCTGTAAAAAAACTGTAAGAAAGGATCAAAAGCTGACTTATACACACATTTTCGCCCTTTTTTTCGAGCCAATTTCCGGGCTCGATAAGCCCTCCACGCCCTTTGTATCCTCCTAGCTGACCGATTTTGTAAAAAGATCCACGCCTTTTCCTCATAAATTCTCTGTTCTTCTTCTTCTTTCTCTCGCATTAGAATATGATACTCTTCAGCTTGATCTTCGAACTTTTCTTGCAACTCATCCAACTCACTTTTTTCCTTCTGGTAACTGCAAGTAGAAATTATAAAAGATAAAAATCTTGATACAATTAATTACATTTCATCTAGCTCGTCATACTCTGCTTGTTTTTCCCCAATATCATTATCGTATTTTGCAACCCAACTCGCTAATTGTGTTTCAACTTTGAGTCTTTTAGCCCTGAGGAGTTTCTCTTGGTGTAAATGATCCTCAAGTAAGGAGTTGTACTGTTCGGTTGCACCTTTGGCATCTTCTGATAATTCAGCCTGCAGTTCCACACTCTTATTGTAATCTTTCATCATCACAATTTCAGTATCGTAGACAACACGGTTGATATCTTTCCGTGATTTTTCTTTGAGAGTTTCAATTTTTTCGGCCAATTCGCGTAAAATTTCTTCTTTTCGGTCGTGTTCTCGGCCTAATTCTTGTCGTTGTTTCTCCAGCAACTCTTCGAGTTCCTGGATGAGATCAGATAACATCATGCTTGATCTGTAAGCCGTTTTGAGATCGTTCTCTCTCTTGATTTCTTCAGATGCTGAAACGCTTAATCTTTCTTCAACGATTTTCTTCAACTTGACCATGGAGTCGATAAAAGTGTTCATTAGGGAATCACTTTTATCTTCTAAACTTTTCATATACTCCACTAAAGGCTTTGATTTGAATACAATATCAAGAGCGTAAGCTACATGTGTATCAAAGTGTTCAAGACCCGAAAACATTCGACTCTTCTTACTAGTGTATGTAGTCCCCTGAAAAAACAGTCAGGTTAAATTTTCACCAAGTTGACTCACCTTCTTTGGATCGTGCATGTTTATTCGCTCCAACATGTTGCAAATTAGTGTCAAATCGGACCGATTTTGGACCATTTCTCTGGAAAATGGTTGTTGTTCTTGACACACAAGAGTAACAAAATCGGCTTCGGTCTCCGAGAGAAACTTGTGCAAGATTTCACCATCATTTTCAACCACAGTGGGCAAGTGGGCCAAAAGTCGCAATTTCTGTATAGTTTCGTCGAATATTTTATTGATTCTCTCTCGTTGCAAGTGGAATTCGTACGTAGAATTCTCGTATTCTGTATCATCTTTAAACGCACTCATTTGGAATTTGTCACTTTGACTAATCAATACAAACATCAACAACTCTATGACGACGAAGAAAGCTTGATTTTGCAACAGTAGTGAAGACCGGTTCACGATGGGTGGCAAGAAAAAATCCCTTGCGAATCGTTTAGCGCGAATGAGCGATGAAGAACGGGCGAGGTATCTTCAACACAAAGCTGACATTGAAGAAGAAGCACGGAGACGCAAAGAGCAACTCATTGCGATTTTCATGAAGGTAACTGCAATCTGGGGAGTTTTTGGCTAGAATTTTGAGTTTCAGCACAAAATCAAACGCGAAGATGGCTTCTCGCGTCTCAATTTGGCCAAAATCAACCAACACTGGCACCAGATTTTGCGTTTGAATAAATGCAAAGAAATGAGAGAGGATGTTGAGGTTTGTTGTAATAATAAGCACAACACTTGATTTAAGTTTATTAGCACATGAAAAAGTTTATGGACCGGACTTTGGAGTACAAAAATCGGACAATTATGAAACTTTTAGAGGAGTTGGAGATGGCTGAAGAACAGTACAGTCATAACTTCCAGTCACATGTGACTCACATCGACCAAATAATCGGTTGTTGGGTCGTAAGACATGACAAAATTTAACGGTATTGATTTTAGTTTCACATGAGAGATATATGGCCGTGATGGAGGAGGAGTATCAGAAGGATCTCGAGGAGTTGTTGGCCACAAGTGGCAAAGAACACGACGAAATCGTCCAAAATAGCATTGCAAGACTTGAGCACCTCCAAACAGTCATTTTCGGCCAAAATTCTCAAGCCAAAGACGCGGCCAAAGCCGATTTCGAGCGCTACTTGAAGAAGAAAGAAGAACTAACAAGCACAGTATGCACCTATTTATTTAACACTAAAAAATTTAACAACAAAAATTAAGGTTTGAAAGGTAGGTCCCCAACCGGCCAATCGGCACAATTCGAGCGCCCCTTTTCGGCCAAACAAGTCACCAATTTGTTAGAGTACGAGCACGGATCCATCGTATCTTCCTTATCCATTTGTTGGAAGCACTCGTCGGTGGTGTCTTGCAAAAAATCCCTCAATTCCCGATTTGTGGTGTTTTTCAGCAACCCATCGAGGATTTTTGCATGGACTGGATAACCGGTCAAGTCTGTCATTTGCAAATTGTCGAAAATGCACTGAATTATGCAATTTTCGGTCGCTTGGGATTCGGTTGAGACAGTTTTGGGCTCGGGGGTTGTCTCGTTTGTTGCTTCTGTGTTGGTTAACCTCACACTAGCACGTTTGATTCGGAAATTTTGCAACATTTTGCCATCTGGAAAATCACTTTGGTTTGGTTTACAAAGTGGGCTACTCACCAACTGGGGGCACTTCCTCTGAGCTCGAGTCCGACTCGGACGACATGGGGGCCATGTCCCACAAATCCTCAAGTGTCTTATTGCTGATCAAACATTTGTTAATTGTGGCCTTAAGGGCGTCGTTTTTGTTAATATGAATGCCACAGTCGAGGCCCTAAAATTCGTTTTTTAACACATTGCATTTTTTTTTAATTTCAATTTACCTCAACTGAGTATACGACAAAAGCAATTGCGAAAATTATTTTCATTGCGGTTTTTGCGACTGATAGATTAAAACTAGATCGGTGCTAAGGTCTTCTTTTATATTTAAGTTGATGGATGTTTGTGTTCTCGTTAATTATTTTAATAGGATCTATGGCATATTATGCTAATAATGGACAAAAGAGTTGAATTGTCACAGAACCAATTTATCAATCAGGTTTCATTCAGTGTTCTTGAAAATGGATTTCCGTGCTTTTTGTTACGCCATGATCGCGTTTTGCATGCGAAAAAGATTGTTTTCGGAATAATTTCGTGATTACTCTGAAAGAATGCGTCAATAGATTAGGTTTGACGTTAATTCGGGAAGATGATTTGATTAGATAAGAGATAAGAGAAAGGCGTGGCAAAATACGATTCATTGCTTCCAAAATTTTGCTTAGATTTTTTTAAATTAAATAATAGTTATTTATTATACAAGACGATAAAAAAATTGTTTATCTACGAGTGAAAAGCTTAAGTTTACGAGTGACGAAATAACGAGTGGACGTTTTTCACGAGTAGATAAATAATCTTTATCGTCGTGTATAATATTTCATTTTATTTGTACTCACCTGTCAGAATTTCTTGTACAAAATAAAGAATATAAACAGTAGATAAAAATTACTTTATTTTACTAGACGTTAAAAGACTACTTTATCCACTAAAATTAGTTGTCAATGTTAAAGAGTGCGTTTATCAATTAATTTTAGTAGATAAAGTAGTCTTCTACTAAAGTAGTCTGAAATAAAGTAAATTTTATCTACGGTTTATATTCAAGAAATTCTGGTAGGTGAGAACAAAATAAAACGAAATATTATACACGTTTTTAACGAGTAGATAAACAATCTTTATTGAACTGAAATACTGAAATTAGTTGATTAAAGCACTCATTAACATTGAGTACAAAATAAAAATTATTGTTATCATAACGAATTGTTTACACTTATTTGTTCTTGTGCAATGTGATTAGTAAATTTGTTGACAAAAGTTGTTAATTGTGAAAAGATGAAAAGAAAAGTACTTATTTTACCTATATTAAGAAATTAACTGCATAAAAATTATTACCATTACTGCTTTTCAACTACAAAAAATGCTTTTTTACAGAAAAAAAAATTAAATTAAAAATAGAGAATTTTTTTTTGTCTAATTACATTCTTTAGTCTTAAACCGATAAAAAAAAATTTAGACTAGATTACTAAATTCTAAAACTTAATTTTAAGGCTGTCCGGGAGTGAACGGGCAAGTCGGTTTTCAGTACTTATTATTCTTTTTCAAAAGCAACCAGCAATACACCCTAGGCAGGGTCCAAACTCAGTCTTTACCTGCGTTCAGGGGTTGGGTTAGTAAGGGTAATAAATTGTAATAAAAGTAAAAGATCAGTTCGCTAATATTTTTATGCTTTGAGTTTGTGGAAGTTGCTCCAGAAATTTCTTAGAAAGCTAAATATTGTTTTGACTTTTGGATCTTAAAAAAAAATCTAATCATAATTATTCCTATCTACTTGATAGGTTGTACATATTTACTAATTAGAAAGCTCACAGGTTCCATTTTCAATGGAAATTAAATTTTTGTATGGAGTAACAAGACATAATTCCATAAATTAAAATTTTTACAATCGGAAAAATTACAAACTTATGCAATTGTGGACTCAAAATTTTAGACATCAAGATATGTCAGTTCAAAAAATATCAACGTAAGCCACGCTTTAGTGTCATTAAGATTGACGTTTGGATCTAAAACTTGAAAGATTTAGTTGAAATTTATTTTTGGCGTCGATTTCCTAATACATAATTATTATTTTTTTATTTTGAATTCTTGTCATTTTTATTCAGCTGTCAGCATAAAAACTACAAAAATTAAAAAAAAAAGTTTCACATAAAGTCAGTTTTACATTTTAAGTCAACCGAATGACAAATCGTCCAAAATTCCGTGTCCGTACATCTAAATATCAAATTTACAATGCGCACTATAAAATGCATATTCTTTGGAGGGGCATTTATGATTTCTTTTAGTTTAAAAGTGTCCTTGTTTTCCATTACAATTTTTTGACATTGACCACATTTACGGGTACCACTAACTAACATTTACAGTTATTTCTTATAAAAAAAGATTGTGATAGGCCGAATCATTTTTTATGAAGAACAACGATAAATTAAAATAAAAACGATCTCTTCAATATTTTTTTTTCATAGATGCCCCGTTAAAAAAATATTTGTTTGAGACTTGGGACTTCTGGCGAGCATTTGTTTAAAAGTAATATTTTTTTTGTATACGCTCTCGAAACAAGATGAGTCTTTGCTGGACCCAATAAAATAGTATGAAAATGGTTATATTAGGTACTTAATACCCAAAATATAGTTATTCAGAACGGATAAGTCAATTTAGTTACTATCGTGGCGAAATTTGTTTAATTAATAATAGGTGCAAATTTGTTGTACAATAAATTATTTTGTCTGATTATTGTTGCTATTTATTAAAACTCTCATAGATAATAAATAATCTTAGATCCCCACAAGACACACATTTTTTTCGAAAAAAAATSGTCAGGTCTACTAAACTCGGGACATTCGATAGAAGTACAGTTCCAACAAAATTCAMTTGTTTTTTCATTTCACGTCAAATGTTTCTGCTTCTAGTTTTCTAATAATAATAACTGAAAATTATTATGCTAATTACATGATAAAGATGACCATAATCCGTTATTTGCTTGGGTTGGTACAAGGGCAGGTATAGACCCTCGATCCTGACAGCGCCTCTAGTGGTAAAAGCAATGAACTAGAATGCATTTTTGGGCAAAATATATTTATTAATAATTTAAAAACAACAGTGTTTTATTACATGGTGTTTGTTGAATKTGTTAAGAATTAATATTTTGTAATAAATACCAAAACCCTAAAACGAATCTTTAGGTCTACCGTTAAATATCGTGACTTTTACATCAATCACAATATCTCAAAAACTAAAGACTTTTTTAAAAAAAGGCCAACGCATCGGCCTATAGAATATTCTTTTAAATTATCTTACAAAAACCGAAATTGATTACTTGAAAAATGACTGAGTAAAGTTGTTTTCAAGTTCACCATTTATGCATTTTTGTTCTTTTTTTAAAAGCATTGAATTTAAAAAAAAAATCTCAACGTATCGGCCTGTAGATTTAAAAAACCTTTATTTTGATGTATAATACATGAAATTCTGTTGCATATTAAGAGAGTAATTTTGTTTTCAATATACTAACGTCTCGAATCGTTGGTCGCGGACACCCTTAATTTTTTCGAATATTTTCGAAGCTGCAACCCAAAATACTCCTTAGTCAGAAGTTCGTATAACAATTTGAAGGAAAAATAACACTTGAAATAATTTTGTAATATTTATTTATTTAAAGGTATTTTTAACAACATTCTGTCGAACATACACATTTTTTTAACAAACACGTTTAAAATTTGAATTAAAATCTAGAAATTTTAAAACTGCAACAAAATTAAGTAGTTTTTAATTAGAAATTTATAAAAATTGTGCTACTATTTTTTGTAATCTTGTATTTTTTTTACATTTGATATTTCGATTTTTAAGAAATGATTGTAATTCGATTAAATTGCTCTTTTTTCTATTTTTTTTTAATAGCTTTTTCTTTTTTTGTAATTTGCATTGTTGGCTTTTGGCAGTTCCGCATCGAATTGGCCTCTTACAAAAAGCGTCGCGAGGCCCATGGCGCCGCCCTCTGGGGCCAAATAGCCGCAGCAATAAAGTCCTACGTTGCCCAAACGGACGCAAGACGTCTGCATCTTGCAGAATTGAAACGTTTAGACGCCGAGAGCGCTGCAGAGATCGCCCTCAACCAGGAGCGCATAACACTCCAAGAGGTAAAATCGGACAAAACCTCGACAAATTTCCGGAATCCCTCTTACAGGAAGAAATCAAAAGTCTGACTCAACACTTTGAAAATCTCACCACAAGACGCACCGAACACATCGCCGGTCTCAAATCGAGCATCAAAGAAAAAACGGCGAGTTTTTTCGCCGTGAGACAGCAATTCCGCAAAGATGTGGCCAAAGATGAGCAACAATTACGCTTCCTGACACGCATTTCGAATAAAAGTATCGAATTTTTGCAACGAATTCAACTTCGAGGGTCGCAAATTGTTAATCTAGCGACGACTTGTCGGAAATTTGAAACAGAGCGGGAGAAAATCATCAAATGGGTGCCCCAAGAGCCTCTGGATTTGAGTATTGATGAGGAGGAGGAAGAGGAGATGAGACGGAGGTCTTCGGCGAAAAGTGCCCCTGAAGAGGTGAAAAAAGTCGTGATTTCGGTCAAGTCGCCCCAAAGTTCGCCCTTTCACGAGGACATTGTCGAGAAGGAGTTTGCGTTGTTGGACTGCATGGAGAAGTTTTGGGTTGTTTACAACAGGGTTGAATTAGAGTTTCAAGGGATGAAAGAAGAGAAAAAAAAATTGCAAAGTCAGAATAAGCATATAAGAGGGATGATTAGAGCGGTTTTGGAAGCAGTAGCCTTGGACCAAACTCCAGCGAGTAAAGTGCCAACAAGAGCTGTTTCAAAGACTCGGGGGGCCAAATCAGCACCCCTGAGAAGAATTTTGGTCTAGGATTTTTGACCTTGACAATGTTTAACCTTGAATCAACCAACTACGATGTAATCTCAATGACCATGGGTGTTCCAACAACAATAATTGTAAATTATGAGTTTCATCGATTCATTCATAAGTAAATTAAATGGTTATGACTCTAAGATAATGTGAAAGTTATTGATAATTAGGTTTTTTATCGATCTTTTAAGTAATTTATGCTCCGATTGAGTGTATTTGAATTACAAAAACAATAAACACTTCAAAATACATATGTTGGAAAGGTTTTTTCAGGTTATTTTATTTTGCCTCGATTTTAACAGAATTTAATTAAGATAAATTAAGTACGAGTAATTCAGGAAAAATACAAGTTTGTGTCGCTGTATAACAAAACTTTTTCTTATATTAGATTATTTTAGAATTTTCAATAGATAGTATTAGGTATTGCAACTGCAATTCGCTGTAATTACAATTCAATACAGAATGATTTTTCTCAAACTGAATCATCCTGTATTTCATGAATATTTCTACAGTATTTTTTTAGTATACCTATTACTGAAACGCAACTTGCCATTCTTTAGTTTCAATATTTTAAACAATTCGAATCAAATATAGGCGACTTATCAATCACCCTCGGATTATATGCAAAATGCATATTTGTTATTAAGAGGTATATCAACAAAATTGTAAGTTTTCTATGTATATCTAATGTTTTTTAATTAAAATAAGCCAAATAAAAAATGCATATTTTGCATATTTTGGCAACTTGGTGCATATTTTAGGAAATATTGCATATTTGTGCATATTTCTTCAAATCACTAATTTCTGATTAAAAATTTCAGTTCAAGTTAAAAATTGGACAGTTTATGAAAAATGATCCGATTACAAAATATTTTAAAGAGAAAACAACCGGTAATT